CATTGAAACTATGGATATGGAAACAATCCTCTGGGTATGATGAGAAATTCCAATGGTTTCAAGTTTCAACTAACAAACGTCTGCACCGACTGAGGCATCAGTGTTCCTGATATCCGCGGTTCAGGAAACCTTGCCTGGGCATCGCCGGGCAATATCTGATTATGCCATCCACGGTCAAATATTCAAATTTATTCGAGCGCCGAGGGGCGTGCCCATCACAATTCCGTTGAAGACGTCAGAAAAGGCCTCGTCAACAGGTGTGATGCACTGCATGTCAACCCTCCCACTTCTTAGCTCGATGCGTGTGAAGAGTACTGATGGAGCATTGCGAGCTGGACTGGCTTTTGTGACACTTTGAGAATGACAAGTGGAAACAAATTCGGGGAAGCCAATGCAAAACTGTTTGTCCATTTCGGATGGTCGAACTAGAACAGCTGGCGCCTTCTGAAATGACCCGCAACACATCCTACCGCTTCAGGTATCACGTACGGAGCCTCTGAGCTGACTGCTATGCCTGACAGCATAGTGATCCTAAGGTACACCGCAGCGCAGCATAGCGCAGCGGCGTGAGGTGTGCAGCTAGCTGGGTCTACCTGTTCTGTCAATGCTTACAACATGCAGACACATGTAGGGTTGCAACGGTACAAAGTGCTAACCCAAAGTGGCGAATCCGTTTCCTTAGAATCAAAATGTTCATGCCCTATCAAGATCATTAAGAAAGAATAAAAATCAGAGATCCACCATTCTCAGCGTCTCCCAGTGAGTCCGCTAGTCACAGGGAAAACTGCTTAGTTTTATGACCTTCGACATCTTCGACATCTTCGACATCCCTTGGCTTCAGGGGACCTACATGTGACCTGTTCACCGCTCAGCTCTGCCAGGGCTCTGAATCAGCAAGACCGAAATGCACATGTCCTTAGATCACGGTGTTACCGTGCTACCATCAATTTTAATCAGTTGCTGAGAGGTCATCGGTCAATAGTGGTCAATCATCCAACTTACATCAACTTCTGCGATGTGACAGGAACTCAATTTCGCCACTTCCAGAATCAGCGACAAGAGAGATCTGCCTCTGCTTTTCAACAAACGGCTCCGTGAAACCTTCATCCATGTGCAGTGTGCTTCTCTATGATGCTATACGACTAAGCATTCAAAGCCCTTCATCTTTTGATGCATTTGACATCTTCTGTATTATGTACATACTTCTTGACGTGAACCTCTAATGCGTAGTCGCATTGCCGCTTTCAAATAAACCAAGGAAAAAGGAGTTTGAGGTTTCGGGACAAACAACCATCAGAGACATCTTAAAACAAGACGCAACACCTCCACAGGCAAGCGAGTTCTTCATAGAGCAGCAAATTGAAAGAACGCTTCAGATTCAAACAATTTCAGCTTTGAAGACTCATGAAACGTGTTCAAACACACGATAGCTGACAGCTGCACTCCTCAATACCAGTCTCACAACTGGAAACTCACAGCAAAAAGTCTCAGATTTAATCGAGTGCATGCACTTCATCCCACAATATCCCCCGAATTCGTACAGAATGTCACGTCAAATCCCGAAGTCAGGCGAGGGATGCCCAATTAAACCTACCATCTGACTTTTGGCCGAAGTTCCACCCAGTTGAGCAGTGGCACTTTCCATGGACGTGCCATTGCCCTGAGGCTGAAGGTTTGGTAATGGCATAAAAGGGATGCCATGCGATGCCATGGGATGCCATGGGATGCTGTTCCAAGTGACTTTCGATGAATATGATTAAATATGATTAAATATGATTGATATGATGCCCATATGGGTATGGCTCAAAAAACGGGTATGGATCGTTCCGCGGGTGATCCAGACGTATGGAACGAGGAGTTGTCAGCAAGCGTTTTGATCCGGACCTTGTCATAAGGGCTTACGTGGATATGAATATAAATATAAAATATTATCTAGATATAAATATAAACATAGAAAAAATACAGACATATACAATAGAAACTCTTGTTTCTGTTCTTGGTTTGTACTTGTTTCTGTTCTTGGCTTGTACTTGTTCCTTTGTTCTCTTGCTGCGCGTTTTTGCTTCGTCTGAATCAAGGTCACCCCCCCCGTCCCATAGGTACAGCTCAGAAACAAAACCAATACATGCCCAGGATTTGCAATTACTGAGGTACGGATCATGGGTATGGATCATAGGTATGGATCATGTCCTCTAAAGGGGTATGGATCATGGGTATGGATCATGGGGTATGGATCGCATGTGCTACCGGGGTATGGATCGGAACCTTACATTTTGAGCCGCAGCCATATATGTTCAAACGTATTCTATCAAGTGGTCCGGCATGGTGCTGCCTTTGTGAAGGTTGCTCACAGATCCGTTGGATCTTCATGCGGCAATGCTCTGCTGCGCCAATTTGAATTGAGAAAATTTGAGAAAGAAGCGATGAATCAGTGGAATCGCGCCCCCATTTTGACGGATGTTTTTCCATGTATTTCCAGCTGCCTGGCGGTCACGATTCCCAATCTTGTCTGAGTGTCTTGCAAAAATCCAGTCAAGGAGTCGACATAGTCATCTCTTCATATCTTTTTTGGTCACATTTTCCAGTTGCATTTATTTCCGTAGAGGAACCTACACCTTGTTTTCAAGGTCGACGCACTGCTTGTTTAAAAGATGTGCGGCGGTCTTGAAGTTTTGATAGCATGATATAGCATGTTTTCACAGCTGCAGCGGAACTGCGAGCACATGCTAATATGGAGTATGATTGAGTTGGTTCAATGAATTCTTGAAATAGGCCGTTTGTTTTGAAGTTGACAACAAGGTGAACACCTTTTGCAATCGAACGCATCCAGTGCAGAAATTGCTCGGAACCTTGGCGTGCACTCAATATCCCTCCGCACCATTCCCCGCAAGCATGTCGCGTATCTTGTTTGGGAATTTCCTTCTAAGAGACCTGTGACCCAGTGACCTAGTGGGCATGGTATGGGGACAATTCCGCAAGGAGCTTCGAGGCGCGAGGGAATCTCCGGTCGCCAGGGTTCATAAATGTTCCAATGAATGGTTCATTTTTGGTTCATATCATGTGCTGTTCCTGGCTGTTCCATGCCATGGGGATCATTCAAACGCAGTCACTGGATCACGATGTAGATGGTCAGGATCAGCGAATTCAAACCTCAAAACATGTCTGGTGAAATCGCACAATTCTTCTGTACGTTCATGGCTATTGACGGCGAGGTTACTTTTACCTGATCCAAAGTCTAACATTCAGGGTTTATTCCATGAACCGGTCGAACAACTCCAGCAAATGCAAGCAACTAATATGTAGCCCCATTGAATGAACCCGTGGGCCCACTTATGCACCATTCCCTTTTGGGGCGAACAAACAGTATTCCCAAGAGCAGTGCCTGTTGGATTTCAACTTGAGTGGTGCGCCCTGTGCTTGTCGAAACGCTGGAACCCTGGAAGCTTTAGGTGCTGTAACTTTGTGTTGGGCTATGAGCCAGGACACACACTTGGGCGGCTGGAAAGTTTGTCGCGCATGTCACCACCAAGGACATCAACGGGCCACGCAAGAGCAACGGAATTCCGAACCTAGGGCCAAGCAGTGGCTTTTGGTGAGTACAGCAAGGTTAACTATCGGACCTAGTGGAAATTTGTAGCATTTCTTGGGTCATCCGCGCGCTCAGCAACTGAACAACTCGTGATTCTTAGATCATTTTGTTCTAAACCTTTCTACGTCTCTTTCATGCCATACTGGTTTGAATTGCGCTAGGGACCGTTTTTGCAACCAACAGCTCCAGGGCCCTAAGTTAAGGTAGTTTGAACCAAAGCCACACGCCAAGGAACATGGTGTAAGGATCTAATTGATCTCAAACTCACACCCGTCTTATCTACATGTCCTTGCGTGGCATTCAAGCTGTCTATAGACTTCACAGCAGCGGGCCATTCCTGCTGATGGCATCTGCCACACATCAATCATGCAAGTCTGAGCGAATTCAGGCCGGATGTCAAGGTCCTCGTTAAAAGGCAGGGTTTCATTGACTTCGTCAATGCATCTGCGAGCATCCGGGCAGTCTCAATCCACCACAGCTCGTCCCCGTAGGGCGAGTACTCAAGACTGCTCTTCTGGCCATTCCCTGTCCACAAGGACTGTCTCAATGCTGCAAGCTCTATGCCCAGTCGTTTATCCTGGACCTTCTTGGGCACTTCTGCATTCAGGTGTTCGACCAGGCTCATGCAGTCAGACACCCAAACGTGTTTCATCTTCATCTGGCATTGCTCGTGCCAGTCAGTCATTGACACCAGCTTGCCTATCATCTCACACAGGACACACCTCAAGCGGTCACCGTGTTCCACTGCACTCTGAAGTGCGTACGACTCTGCACACTCGCTTCAAGGTTGACGAAGCGAACCCGATCACATGTATGTTGTGATCTTTCTCAGTCAAATGTGAAGCCGTAGACAGATAGTGAATTCTGCCTTGCTGGGATTTGAATCCAGGCTCATTGCAAAAGATGCATCGCTGTACGTCACCACTGCAAGATCCTTCCAGTCAATCCAATTGGCCTTGTACACCAGCTTCATGTTTTGGTTCTGGCGTGCCAGTTCAACAGCCTTGTTTGCCAGTCTCAAATCTGACACCGTGGCCTTTGGATTGCAAAGTCTCTGGAGTTCATTCACCTTGTACGCCAAGTCTGCACGACAGTACCGTGCTACCCACGCCAGTGATCCCGTCACCGATCAGAGACTTGTCAGCTCCTTTTCCGTGACAACATCAGTTCCCTTACGGGACGAAATTGGCTTGATTCCTCTGGTGTTCTCCTCAGCATCGATCTCAACTGTGAAATCACCATGCTGGGTAAACCGACGTCCACAGTACCTGAAGCTTCCTTCTTCAGTCTTTCCGACTGAGAACTTTCCAAGGATCTCCTGGATTACCTTCGCTCCACTTGGCTTGTGGGCAAACAGTAGGTCATCCACGTGGGTGCATAGCATCGCATCCAGTTCACCGTTTTCGTCCTGATGGTAGTACAGGGCAGGCATCATCTTTGACGCCTTCATACCTGCTGTCTTCACTTCTGAATCCATGCGCAAGTAGAAACCTCTACCTGCATCGATTGAACCGTAGATGGGCACCCTAAAGAGCAAGCACGCTTCTGCAGGCACATCTGGATCTCCAAGTCCACCTGTCGGCTGCCGCATCAGTAGCAACCTCGTCAGTGGCTTTGCTTGAAAATACGCATTGGTCACGTCACTTAACCCTTCAGACGCAACCTTTCCGAAGCTGCCCAGCTCGCCAGGAGGCAATGGGACTCCGCATCTGCTGTCGGAGCATCGCACCTCACATCTTCGCGACTGACATCTTCGAAGTTACCGCATATCACCAATCGAGCTTTCATCTTGGGACTATATATTCTGGGGTTCCCTTCAGGTGTTCATGTTTGTCCGTTTCAACCCATTTAGATGGGATCACCTTGTGACCTTCATCCAGCAGATTTTGAAGCTCCTTTCCCCAAATGGGAATTGCAGCGTTGAAGCTCTTGTACTTCTCCCACTCTGCAGTTCGAGCTTCCATCATCAAGGCTCTGATCTCTGGTGAGACCTTTCTGATGTCCACTGTCTTGGCCACCTTCCCAGATTGAACCGTCTCCTCGGCCTCCACAATGCGCTGTGCAATGAAGGACCTTAGAGGTTCCAAATCCAGTTCCAGATCCACGGCTCGCGCGCGTTCGAATGGGTCCTGTGCCCTTCGAAAGACGGTGAAACCGGTCCAAGCGTCCGTTTCTTCTACATTACTTACCTTACCCGTTTCGTTTGTTTTTACATCCCCGTTCCTGAAGATCTTTCTTACTGTTGCAACCCCTGAATCCTGAAACCCTTCTGGCAGTTCACCATCAACCATCGTGTTGTACTCTCGTTTCCTGGATTCTGCATGGACTCTGATTGCCACATCCTTTGAAATGCGCCAGTGGTCTCCATCCACCAACTCAGCCATCATCGTGTCACCAGGTAGTGCACCTGGGGTCATTGGAGCGGCTCTTGTGTACGGGCCAGGTCGTTCAGATTGGCCCGTCTTATCTTTGGCCTTCAACCGTCTCCCTGGTGTTGCTGGAGCTCTTGACGGCGCACTGCTCCCCTGAGGGGCATCTTCATCATCATCAAAGATCCCAACTGGGTTTGGGGACTTTGGTCCTTGTTGTTCATCTTCAAGATGGATGTACTTCTGTTGTTGAGGGCCTGACACAATGGCATCTGGCAACACGGGTTCCCCATTCAAGATGGAGAAGGCCAGGGCCTCGCTCTCATTGGCAGACCTCACGCGTGATGTACTGCACAAGATTGGTACGCCCTCGTGTAACAACCACAACCCATTTTGGGAATCATGGCCGATCACACGGGATGCTGTGCTCCATGTTGTGCCTCCTTGTTGTGCATCTCTCCTGTAGCAAACCAAATCACCAACTGCATACTCCTTGTGCTGGGGCGCTGCATTGCGTGTCAGCGCACGTGCAACCCTGTTGCTTGTGTCTAAATGGACGAAGGCCCTTTGTGCACTCATTCTTGCAGTGTGTGCCTTGTGGTACGCCACAGTTGGATCTGTTTTCGCTTCAATCACACCCAAGTCAGCGCTCTCTGACATGTCTGTGACTGAGCCCGGCATGCGTGGCTGTTTTCCCAAAACCCATTGACTTGCACTGTAACCATTTGTTCTCTGCATGCTGTTCTTTGTGGATGTGCATTCTTGCAGCAACATCTCAAAGTCTGCAAGTCCTGCTGTCTCGGTATCAGCAGCCACTTTTCTGACAATTGCTTTTAGGATACCCCCATGACGTTCTACCTTTCCTATAGCTGCTGGGGTTTCCAAAGGGGCAAACTCAATATTGCACCCATGACTGGCCAGCATCTTGGTCACTGCGCCTCGGTTGTGAAGGCCTCGATCCATGATGCATGCCTTTGGCCAGCCAGCCCAAGCAATCCACTTGGTCATCAGCGCTTTGGCACAGGCCTCTGAAGTGGGCTGTCCTCCACCTTCCTTGACAACTTCGCACATGTGAAAAGCCGTTGCAATGTCAACCATCGACATCACTGAGTACTTGTGCCCCAAATGATCCCTCATTTCCAACACGTCAAAACCCAACATAGAGTTAAACTCAAAATTGAAATGACTTCCATCTGGATGATCTCTTGGGGGTTTTGCAGAGTCCTCACATGCCTGGCACCTCACCAATCGAGCTGCCTCAATCAGCTCAGGAGATGCCCTTCCTGCCTTCAGGATGTTCTTCAAGGTAGCAGGTGTTGGATGGCCAAATTGCCTGTGCAGGCGTCGGATGGCGATCCTAGTTTGTGTGGGCAGTGCTCTCCAGTGCGCTCTCCTCTGGACCTCATCCAATGGGGCTCCAGGGATTGCAAGTTGATCCAACATGAGTTGCTCATTCTCTGCTGGAGTCAGAGGCTTGTTGGGATCATCCAGCATCTGGTCATCCGATCCAGATAGCTCATCCATAGCTTCACCAACAAAACATGTCTGTGCGTACCTATCTAGGTAAAGCTTCTCTGAATGACCCTTCCACAGCTCATGAAACTCCATCCCACATGCATCTTGGAACGTCCTTGGTGTCATGCTCTCTTGACCCTCGTTCCAATCCACTGCCAGCCTGAACAGTGCATCGTTGCGGTCTCCTGCAACAAACAGGCACAAATCACCCCCAAAGCAATAACCCTTGTCAACCAGGCTCTCCAGGTATGGGGTGAAAACCACAACCGTGCATTGGTTCATGTCAGCTTCACAATGGACATCTTGGATCTGTTTCCAAGTGGGATTTTCCATGTACACTGCAATCAGTCCAGGGCTCTGAGATGAGACCCTGGCTGCAAGCTTCTTGCATGTGTCTTCCCAGCTGGGGTCAACTGTCATGACATGCACATCGTTCCAACTGGTCAGATTGATCGTGGGGTCTTTCAAAACCACCATGTGAACCGATTCTGACAAGTGAGATATCCCCACCATAGCTTTCATGACTTCATCCTCATGCTGCATGATCTTCAACCCTGAGGTTACCACACTTTTGTCCTTTTTGTCCATTACCCTTGACTCGCTGGACATCAAGGCTCCCAGCAGCGCACATGGGTGAGGCTCTGTTTTCACCTCCAGCTTCACTGCAGTTGCAACTGCCTCTGACCCAGTAGTCCCACTTGGGTCAATGTCATCGTCGCTGTTGAGGTCGATGTATTTGCTAGGGTGCATCGTCAAGGCCTTGGCAAAGTGAGGCATTGCAAGTTTTTCTGGGGTACCTTCAACTACTCCCAAAGCCTTAAGTTCAGGGGTTTCTGTTCAGGGAATTCCTCTTTTGGGGCAGTTACGGCAGCATGTGCTGTGGGAACTTCTTCAACCACATCCATGGGTTCATGAGTATCCATGGTTTCCAATCCACCTTCATCACCTGCCAGAGCAAGTTGCGTGCTCTCTTCTGTGATCTCTTCGACATCGTCGTGTTTCTCTTCCTCTTGTCCATCATCATGGCCATCATCTCCGTTGTTGCCATCTCCATTGTCTCCACCTCCATTGTTTCCTGTCTCACCAGTCTCACCAGGTCATCGGGAGGTCGATGTAGTCATAGATGGTGACACTCCATCCATCAACCCTCATTGCTGGTGAAGCCCAAGACCTTCTGATAGACTTCCCACCAGAGGTTTCCTCATGAAAGCACAACCCGATGTAGTCTGGCCCAAGCACTGCGACCTTCACATTCGCAGCCATGTTGTTCCGCTCCACGGTCTGCACCTTTCTTTCCTCAGCTGTTGTACCTGGGAAGTACGGCCCAATCCAGCGTAGGCACTTCTGCTTGTAGCCACTCTGATGGTCCACAGCAGCTGCATACCACATGGCATCCAACAGCTCCACAGAGAGACCGTGGGCATCGACTCTTTTGTTCCAGGAGGTGCCTTCATCCTCCTTCGCAGGCAGATCCAAATGGCTTGGCCAACCAGCCATGACCGATTCCACACTCATTTGTCTTGCTGGGGGTCGTCGACGAGGAAGTGGTGATGGGCTTCTCGGAGGTGGTCTCGGTGGCGTCCTTGGCCGTCGGTATGATGTTTCTCGACGCCAAGGCGCTTCACCATATCGACACTCCCTTGGGGACCTTGATCGACCACGTCATCTTGAATCCCGGGAGTCACTCCTGCTTCGTCGCCCCCTGTAAGACGAAGAGGCTGAAGCTCGTGCCTGATCCCTCTCAGCTACCAGCTGGGACACCACTGACGTCAGCTCACTGATCCTTGCAATCATGCAACTGATTTGCCTTCTTCAACTGCTCGCTTCACTCTCCTGACCAAGGAGTGCATGATTTGCATCGTCCAATCGTTGCGCACAAGCCCTGCCAAAATGTCAGGGTGAGTCCCAATGTGACTCCTCAAGCTCTTGTCATGATGAGGGTCTCCAAGTTCCAAGGTGTCAACCACAAAGACTTCCCTGTCACCCAAGCCAAAGTTGTGACAGAGTCTCTCCAAGTTGCGCGCTGATGGATCGTTGCAGTAAGCGTCCAAAGGAGGGCAAAAATCTTTCCCTGCAGTGTAGATCAGCACTTGCTGTCCAGAAGGGGCCATGGTGCGAGGAGTGGTGCCAACATATGCCATGTTGTCAGGGGTTTTCAACTCCCTGATCTGCGTTGGTGTTTCTTTGAACGACATGTTGATCAACCCCTTGCTCAGGCAAACACACAAAAGTCCTGAATCCTTGGTTCTGTGCAACTTCAAGGTGGGTCCATCTCTACCAAGTGTGCATGTGGATGTTGCCATGTCCTTCACCAAACCCAATGCTGCTTGAGCATGTTGTGACAGCAACAAAGGTGTGGGGTCACCAGGCTCCCCAACCACATACGTTTCCAAAACACCTGGCAACTTCTTACCACCTTCAGGTTCCAACACAAATGGAATTCTGTATCGACCCTTGGTGCGCACATTGCCTGCAAGACCTTTGAATGCCTTCTGTTCGTCTGACTGCATAGGGACATCAAAACCCATGTTCTTCAACTTGGCCTTGCGTGTTTCCATCCATTCATGTCCACAAACCGTTGAGTTGCAACCCTCGTCCAACACTCCCCAGACATGTTCATCGTTAAAGAACATCAACCACTGGGAGCACACTGCACTCCAGATCGTCCTCCAAAGGGGAAAGCGCCATATACCCTGCATGGGTCGCCTCTCTGGCTTCCATCACAGCCTCAATTGCGTTGCGCAAGATGTCGATCATGACACTGGCACGCATGTTGGGGTCATGTTCCAACTCAATTTCACAATCATGTTGAAATTGGTGCATCACAGCCACTGAGTCATCAGTACTCAAAAGGAGTTCCAACCTTTCATACTTCAACAGATCTTCTGCCAGGTCTACCAAGGGTGCAGCAGACTGACTCACAGCCCTTCCCAAGGCTTCCCTGCGCTGTCCTTCATCACGTGGCATCTCGTCCACATGGGTTCCACACAACAGACAAAACGTTCTGCTGGTGCTCTTGGTTGATCCCCTTTTGTTGGTGACTGCATGGTTGCATGTCTCAGGGTCATGGGTATATGCTGGATTCTTTGGGGTCTGTGTGACTCTTCCGCAATCCCTGCATGTCTTGCGCTCGACGTATGCATTGGATCATTGGATCCTAACAGGCTGAAATCCTTGCAAACGTGGCCAGAAATCTCCACAGGGGGGGTTGGAGGTTTCTTCGTGGCAGTCTTGTCCCTCGATCCCGGCACAGGGGCAGGTCTTGGCTGCACTTCTTCTGGGGCCAGTTTTGGGGTTACTTGATGGGTTCGATGGTCAACATCATGGTACATATCAACCCAATCCCAAAATTGGCTCAGGCTTCTTGAAGTACCAGGTTCATTGCGTCCCCAAACGGAGTACCCAGGGTATTGCATCAACACTTCATGATACGTATAACCCTTGTGCTGCCCAAACGTGAAGACATGGTCACTTCCAGGGGGCAAAGTCATGTCACCCATGGCAGGCATCCTTGGCACACGTGGGCCTGATGCATGACTTGACACCTGGGAAAAGCTACCATCACTGGAGGCAGGGGATGGTCGTAGTGTGGACCTAGCTTTGGCCTTGGCAGGGGATGCATGAGGGGTTCTATAACCCATATACCCACATTTCTTCTTGTTGCTCCCTGCTCCAATGACCACACAAGGCAATGGGCCACCATCATCTCCTGAGGAATCACTCAGGGCAAAGTAGCCAACCTTCCCTTGGCTCGGCACTTGACCTGGGACCGATGCAGTGGCATTCGGCTTCTTGTTCGGCATATTGCATTCTGGGTCACCTGCACAGTGTCCATAGCCTCCACAGCGTAGGCAACGACTGTTCTTCTTCAGACTGGCAAGTCTGACCTTCCTGTCTTGGATGGACAATTGGGTCTTCACAACCCTCTTGCCCTTCCCCTTGCCTTTGTCCTGATCCCTTAAAGCGTAGGCCTGCAACTGGTGTTGGCATGCCTTTCCAAGTTCCTCAAGACCCTCTGTTGAGGTCTCGTCCATGTCACAGGCAGCCATGGCTGTCAGGGCAATGCCAAGGTCTTCATCTGACACCCAGTCACAATCATCTGGGTCCTCTGTACTGGGCTCATCGCCATACCCAACATAGGCTCCATTGTCGTAGTCCTCATTCCAGTCGTAGTTGTCTCCATCAACTGCTGCCTCATCACCTGCATAGCCATCATACTCACCTGCAATGTAGCCCGATCGATACCACCCCTTTCCTTTGTTCTTTCCTGCTCCTTTCGCTTGAAAGGGCTTTGAAGGAGGGGCCAGATTCCTTGAATCCCTCAAATGAATCCTTCCATGGTGTTGCAACAAGATCTCGCTGTATCCCTCAAAGCTGGGCTTCGGGCAGGCAGTCTTGACCATGAGTTGTTCCTGTCGGCTTAAGCCTGATGTTTCAAGGAGAAGTTCAGCTCGCATCTGGGTGGAAATTGCCATCTCTTGGTCAAGTTCTTTAAGCTGAATCCACCATCGTTCCCTCCTTCCAATGAAGGACAAGATCGTCTCTGCAGACTGTCGACTGAGGGGGCCATTTGCCTGTTGACCAAGCCTGAAAAGCTCCCTTGCCTCATGTGACCTCAAAGGGAACACATGCTCCTTGATTCTCTCCGCCAGCAATTCCAGTCCGGTAGGAGGGCCAACATCCATCAATGCCTTCAGACCCAAGTCCTTTGCCATGAGGAATGCATCACCTCTGAGCCCTTCCATGACCTTCGTGACAAGCCCCACGTAGGGGTAAACATCGACCAGGTCTTCATCACCTTGCTGACTTCGGGGCGTAGCACTGTGAGCACTGTGAGGCGAGGCAAGGCCACCAACCTCATGTTTACCTGATCCTGACGGGGCTTGGGGCGACACTTCAGCAGCAGCTTCTTCTTCTGCATCCTCTTGTCTTGCCGCATCTGTCGGCTGACGTCTCCTCCGGCCACTGCTAGCAGGGCTGACCGGGGAACTGGATGCTTCCTTGGCCTTTTCCTTGGCCTTCTGTTCCATCTTCTTCTTGCAGAGTTCTACACGAAGAAGGGTTCTGAATTGCCATTCGTGAAAGTGGGACGGATCTCCACTGTACACGTAGGCTCCACTTTTCGTTTCCAACGGTCCTGTAGGACTGCTCGGGCAGTACCTCAGGCCGGCCATCGATATGGCGTTCGATGGGATTTCGACGATCCTTCAGGATGTTTCGACGTTACACACTTACACACACACACAACAAACACACACAGGTTTCGGACCTAGGCTATCACCGTGAGAGTCCGGATGTCGGGAGTGAACTCTCCGGCAACCAGCTCCGCTACCAGTTTGAATTGCGCTAGGGACCGTTTTTGCAACCAACAGCTCAAGGGCCCTAAGTTAGGGTAGTTGGACCACGGCTTATAGACGGCCGTGGGTTTTGGGGGGTTTTGGGGGGTTTTGGGGGGGGCTGATAACGTTCTTGGCTACCCGCCTTACAAGATATTCTCTTGGACTTGCTGCTACGCTATCCACTCTTCTCTTGCTTGGGGGGTTTTGGGGGGTTTTTTGGGGGGGGGGCTGATAACGTTCTTGGCTGCCCGCCTTACAAGATATTCTCTTGGACTTGCTGCTACGCTATCCACTCTTCTCTTGCACCGTACCCTGGCACACGCTATCAACTTCCTCTTGTAACTTGCAAGACACTCTTGATTTTTGCATTGTTGTTTCTTGGGGGGGTTTTTGGGGGGGCTGATAACGTTCTTGGCTGCCCGCCTTACGAGATAAATGGCCATCACAAAATGAGTCAAGGTGTGCATTCAATGATCCAGCAATGGATGTGGCGTCAAACAATTTTGCCGTGTTCTCCCAAAGAATTGATGTCATGCCTTGTCGATCTGCTGAAGAAATATCATGACTTTCAATGACGGCTTCATCCACTGAAACAAATAGTTTGACTGCATTGCAAAATGACTAAAAAACATATTTTTCCCCATCTAATTACGAGATGAAGCCGCTTTAACCAATGGCACGGCTGCGTGAAAGATCCAAAATGGACTGGAATGCTCTGACCACTGTAAATCGGCAGAAAAACAAATGCTCAGCATTGCTGGTGTGCTGAATTCCTCACGGCCGCCTGTGAGCCGTGTACCTAGTTTGAACCAAAGTCACACGCCAAGGAACATGGTGTAAGGATCTAATTGATCTCAAACTCACACTGGTAGTGGAACCGTGAAGAGGGCTGATCAAGGTGGCTTGCGATTGTTTATTGCCTCTGTCAAACGATTGCAGACATAATTATCACATGTTGCCCCTCTGTTACAAGATGCACGAAGGGGGGGAGAAGGGGGGGACTCCAAAGAATCCTTGAGAGCTGTGAAACCAAACATATCTGCGGTGTCCCTGTGTTTTGATTCAGTTTTGATTCCTCTTGAAGACATGTTGGATTCCCAGTCCATTTGAACACCTTCATCGTTGAACAGATCCAGCGTGAATTCTTCCGCATTCCCTTGCCACAACTTGTTGCGCAAGATCAAGAAGCCACCATTTGTCCAGGCGAAAGCGAAATGTCAGGAAATTGAAGCTTTGGACCCGATGGTGGAACATCCTCACAGCACCAAACAGTCAGCCGTTCACAATACATGACGATTCATGAAGATTCATGGGAAAACGACTAAACCTCTTGAATGCACACTTTACATCTGCGCCCATGTGTGATTTATGATACGCATAAGATACGCATAAGATACTTGGGTATCACATTTGCCATCCTTCTCCATCCTTCTCATATCTTGTGTGGATTTCAGAGCACTGCCTGGCAGATTGGGGCACCTGTCTGAACTCCATGATGGTAAGGCAACTGTCGCATAGGTCGCGATTGCCAAAAAGCCGACGACGCAGACAATCAGCAAGGACACGCCTCTAAAGGACACAGCAAAACTCAAGGTTTGACTTGGAAATATCTGGAGTTGAGTTGATGAATTGGATATATATATATAGCACTGCAAATAATTGTATTCATTGCATATAATTGCAAGATATGTTGTACCCCCTTCGCAATCAAATGGAAGTGCTGAAGAAGAAACTCCAAATGTACCCAATGGATCCCAATGGACTGAAGCCATCAAACCATTGGAAAACCGAACTTGCGATTTTTGTGCTTCTAAGGGGGTCAGGCCAAATGAACTATCTGCTATTTGTCCATCTGTCCAAATGTCTCTACGTAAAACATGTATTTACATATCTGCACTTGTAGATGTATACATACCAAGGGAAAGAAGGAGAACACACTTAACACATCCATCATCATCTATCCAATCTTGTCCTTTTGCGGGACGCCTAGTGGATCCAAGTCTGCAACTGGGTGTGTGAACTGCGGATGAGTCTTGCGCCCCATGAGCCCCAGTGCCTGCTGCCATCATGGTGGCTTGCTCACCTTCGCCACAGGTGATGCTGGAGTACTTCACCAAGCCTTTGGCACCAAACCATGATGGCCATGATGGCCATGATGGCCGGAAAACAAAGTGGAAAATTGAAGCTTTGGTGTGTTCTTCATCGGCAGAACCCTCCTGAGGGTATGGGCGATCAACCTCTGAGATACCCGCAAACTGAATGGTTATCAAATCTACAGCGAAGCATTGCCAGGAGATGGTGGCTGCTAGGTTTTGACACATCTCCTATTGGCAGGATACAGTGTATGTGGCCTTTCGGAACATCCACCTCATCAAAACAACAACCTTCACGCTTAGAAAAATGAACCAACTTTCCGACTATGAGAAGGGGCAAGATTGAGACCATAGTTTTCCAATCGTTGCTGAATACTCTCCGGAGTTAAATGAAAACTCACGACGAAGGCTCCGTGACAATTGGCTGCCTGAGTCATCCATGGCTTTCCACCATTCTTGTTGTCGTCTTTTATTGCGCTTTCAGGCTGCATTCAAACTCATTGAATCCATTTGGTACACACTTCTGCAAGTCTTCCTACGCACAACTGATCATTACCACTCTAGTAGATGTCAATCAACATTTTGCCCAACAACGAGATGCCGTTGGTCCAGTAAATGCAAGGCCTCCTGTGTTCACAGGCTATGGGCTATCAAACGGCTATCAATAGTACCAATTCACCTGCTAACCCGGGGCTAAATGTCAAAACTTCAAACTTATCAGCTCAACTCAGCTCAGTTCAAAGCCCCACACACACATACACACACACACATGTGGATTTTGAATGATTTCCAAAGTGCCGAAGCGACCGTGGTCACAGTGCTGCTGAAGAACTGTAAGAGCCATTGGGATGGACATAGCATGTCCTTGGATCTTGAAACCAAAGCCAACCCGCAGTGGAACGATTTTGGAAGATGGACAGATCGGATTTAGATGGAGACCTACAAACAAGGGTGGTGGCAGGGTTCTTTGTGACCTGGACCTTACCACACCGGAATTCGACAGAATCGACATCAGATCGCGGTACAATCTTTGCTCACCCAGTGTGCCTATGGTGCCTATGGTGCCTGGAACATCGGAACTTGTCACGATGAGACGTGTTGCTACGGTGTTGCTTGAGTCCACGGCCTGAATGGCGTGCACCACTGGAAAACCATTTCGCTCCGTCACACAGTTATCACAATCTGCGTCACCAAAGGCCCTGAAATTCTTCCAATGTCTTCCAAAAGCAGCCCATTTTCGCCATTTTCATTATCTTTTTGAATTTGCTTCGAGATTAGGATTCCTCCCCGCATCCGAGCACTTGGCCGTGCGAATGGTCCAAGAGGCATACTCTGCAAAGCCACAGTGCTCATGATAGCAAAACTGGCCTGCCAAGTTGTGATGGAATCCTATCAGGCCACATGATCTACATCTACATGCTGTACACAGTACCCAGCTGTAGCCATGAGTAATTCATTTGACGAATCTACGGGAGATGAAAAGGCTTTCAATTGCTGCCGCCACCATGAAACGAAATACCTCTGCCGTCACCCAACCTGCATGTAATGACCAATCGTGTTGGCTGTCCTGAGCACAAAGAATCGCACAGTGTTGCTCGGAAACAGCGCTGATCAACGTATAGCTTCCAAGCCGCGGAACAAGACTAGGTGAACATGTGCAGTGTCAAACCGCTAGGGGCGCGAAGATTGGGATTGGCCAAGACATGAACAAAATGCCCTTAAGATGCTCCAACACCGACGCGGAAGGCACTTCATGTGCCTGCATTTCCCTCAGAAAAATGCTGCTAAATTTCGTTGCCGGCCGCCATTGCAACGATTTGGGCAAGCATTTCGAGATGAAGAACAATGCCTGGCGCGCAAAGTGAGTCCGTGAGCGGATAGTTTCGGATAGTTGGTATGCACCTTTCTGTAATATGTGTTGAGGTGGGAAACAGAAAGGTGCATACCAATATTACAGAATTACCTGTGGCTGAAACTGATGGGATAAGCAGCCCTTTTGCGGCGCTGCACACTTTCAAAAGAAATCAACCACAATTGCATCGGCCAAGTGCAAATCCTTCCTTCATGGAAGCTGTAAACTTGGCGAACTTGTAGACATCACCTTTGCAAAATCTGGCCCGAGCTGCCTGCTGCTAGACCACGTCTCTGACACAAAAATCACTGTCTTAATGACCAGAAATATCGGGAAATTCCTCCCGTATCACGACAAAACCAAAGACTTGAGAATCACCTGTGGCTGACACTGATGGGATAAGCCCTTTGCACACTTTCAGTAGAAATCAGGTACGTTCGTTTTGATTCTGGGGAGACCTTTGGTCAGAATCTTGCTAGTGGGAAGATAGCATTTTCCGATGATTTTGTGGATGTCATCAAATGGAGTGAAGAGGAGTGTAGCCAGGAAGCCGTGATGGCTTGCGATGTTTGCTGTCAGGCTTCTAGCGAACAGGGCGCGAAAAAAATGCAAGTCATGCTTTCCTCTGAAAACGGTTGGTATGTTCGGCCTCAAACGTATTCAAGGGTAAGATAGCAGTGTCCACACTCACACGACTTTGGCAAAGACAGGGAGCCACAATAATGCTAGACATATTCGTGCAGTTCAAGCGACACCAAACCGCAGCTGCTTTGATTTTGAGTACGTTGGCAGGCGCAAAAAATTGTTGCCAACACCCAAACATGTGTCAAACTTGTCATGAGAGAAGTGCAAAAAGAGATACAAAAGCCCCAAGAAAAACTCCCAGGGACCGGCCTCTGGGGTTTAGACTGACAGGTGGACAGAGTTGCGCCCTTTCAATCTTAAGAAATGACACCTGTGATTGCGTACCGCTTTGAGAGAGGATTTCTTGCTTTTTCATCCAACAACTGAATCCCGTCGCAGCCAACAACATTTAGCCAGACTCATTTTATTACTTGACTCTTGACCTAGCTTTGATCTATGTATCTTTATCTTGCTTGTTGGCCATGTAGATCTCCTACAGGATTCCTGTGATTTTTCAACGCCAGGTGCCAAATTTGAATCAAGCCACACACATCCATGCCATTGCTGTGGGGAACACGAGCACCTTGAAACAGAACTGGGATTCTGGATGCTGATCAATGTGAAAGGCAGCAAAACAAAATCTGGAATGCCAGAATGACTAGAACGAATAGAATGACTAGAATGAGTAGAATGAGTAGAATGAATTGAGTATTTGTATGCATTGACTGGGGATTCTTGAGCCGTGTGACATCGTGTGACACTGCGCTGCCCGGTGCAAACCTATCCCTCGAGGATCAGTCCATTCGGCTCTAACCGATCCAACTGCAAAACGCAATAGATCCATTCAGTCTCTTCCAATTTGAGGCTGGGAAACTTTGGCGATGTAGCGGGCGGAAGCTTGGTCCGAAGCAATGCATGAGAAGGACAAAGAATCCACATCCTTCGCTGACAGTGGCTGGATACGGTTACTGAATCTGGGAAAGAGTTGTGTCAGTGTCTGCTACGGCTATAATTGGACTGCTAGAAGGCTAGAAGTGAAAGCCAACTGCAACAAAGAAATGATGCTGGTGGGCAAGAACACCTTCACATACTTCACCACATGTATGTATAAAGATGTATAAAGATCGATGCAAACATAAATTACATCTACAGCAAAATACATGATCAACAAATGGTGAAACGGTGAAACCTTACAGAGCCACAAACTTTGAACCTTGCAACACCTTTGAGCACCACTCTACTCCAACTATGCACAAGAATCAACTGCGAAATGCACTCAGTATTTGTTGGCGGTCAAATTTTCAAGGATATCTATCATTGTCCACACAAAAACGTCTGCAGTCAAATTGCCAAGGAGATCAAGACAATTCAAAGCATATTCGGCGGTCGAAACTGCTCTTCGCCAAGACGCTAGAATGAACAAGTGCATCACAGAGAGTGAACCAGAAACACTCGATGGCCATTCCTGAGTTCCCAATGGGAATTCAGTGATTTATATGAGATTGGTGCCATATCACTTGTTCCATCTTGTTCCTATTTGCATCACTGCTAATCCCAATTGACACAACTTTAAGGGAGCAAGGCCATCTATGAACCGGAATCCAATGTGAATCATTGCAATGGCTTAGGCGACAATCAAATGATCGTCTGGAACTCTACGGGGTCGGGTCTGCAATCGCCTCCTTTCAACTGACACTTAGAGACCCTGATGACTGTTTGTCAGCGCATTCCAAGTTCATGCACGTGTCCATGCAAAAAGGCGACTGAACTAATGGAACCCTCAAAATCACGAAGGTGCAACGGAAACTAACCGGGGAAGAGCTTCATGCGGCTCAAGCGTGTTCATGTGGATTTCACTATCCAACATTGTCCAATGGCCTACAGCATGCTACAGCCTGGTTTGCCACATTTCCTCAGTTGAGAGTCCACAGTCATCATGGCAATGATCGCCACAGTCCTGCGCAAAATGAATATCTTGAAACCGCTCAGGCAACGTCTTCAAAGGGGGCTAGTTTGAAACCGCCAACATGAAAGCTGCGATAATCTGCGATATTTGGTTGATTTGACCTTCCTTGGTAGAAAGAGCCTTGCGCCTGTATCAATGGCCAAGATGCCTCGCTTGAATTAAGTAGAGCATGGAGATCCACATAAGTAGATCGGTAGGTGGATTAAGGGGTGGGTATGGAATGTAAAGACAGGAGGGACATATCCAGGCATGGATGTATTTGGCTATAAATCTCACAGTTCCCATATCTCATCTGATATATGCACCAGTTGAGATGCAACAATATACAATGAAATAGACAGACAAACATGAAGGATGCAAAGCCGATAGACAAAGAGATAGCAAACAGGTATACGGTATAGGTTGGTAGGTAGAGGTAGATAACGCAGTAGATAGAGATATGCAAACCACTTGCGAACACTGTCTTCAAGGTTCAGCCCAAGGGCATTGCTGTGACTCGTGACCATGAGATTATCATGAGATGTTGGTCGATGTTGGTTTAGTCAGTTCTGAGTTCATCACCGTTTTCCTCACGGCCCAAGTCGGCCCAAGGCACTGAAGCCACATAATGGCCAAGCCAACAGAGACCCCCCAAGTCTGTCGAGCTGTTGCCTTGGCGATGGGATGCCATGGGATGCCACACGGGATCCCACAGCTTCAACGAAGGGCATTCAGCCGGATCGGGAAGAAAATGCAGCAGAGATCTACAAAGATCCAGCTGAGCTGCGATGGCATCGATTTTTGGATTCATGATGTAGTAACCACCTGGACACTGGAGAGCTGTGGCACTTTGGCAGTCACGAAGCAAAAAGTGAGTCTTCACATTGCGAGTCTTCACATGAGTTTCACCTATTCTCAGTATGGTCTGTCAAGTTGCAGAGCAAAAAAAGGCAACCATAGCATGGATGCATTCTGAGACTGGAAGCCTGCAAGAAATCTGACATGCTCTTGGGCAAATGTTCAACCATGTTTTGCCTTTTATTTGCATGTAAAACGCTTGAGACGTACAAGCACAACATGAAGAACCATATGTCTTCAGTCAACGAAGAAGAGTCATTTCAAGAGATAGTTCCTCAGTTTTAAGACCCATCGAGATATGTCATACTTCTAACTTATCGAAGGAAGTTTAGAAGTCAAACTTCCGACAATATGGAGAGATGAAAAAGCAGTCAGCAGGGAGAAGAGTCAGAAGAGAAAAGATCAGAAGAAAGAAGATGCAGGTGCGCGAAAAGGTAGGAAAGTCGCGAAACACTGTGTTTTTTCGTGGTTTTGTGGCTCCGGAGGGTTGAAAAGTAGGCTCGCTAAAGCGGCGGGTGCGGAGACATCTGGGGAGATGAGAGATGAAAAGTTGCACGCCGTTGTGGCGCGAAGCCGGTTTCGAAGTGAAAAGGTACAAAACACCTCAGTGTCGGACCACTTTTGGAAGTTGAGATGTTGAAAAAGTGCACGGCGTTGTGGCGCGAAGCACATTTGGAAGTAACATGTGTTAAAAACTGAAGGGTTCGGAGCAGTTTTGGAAGTTGAGATGACGAAAAAGTGCACGCCGTTGTGGCGCGAAGCACATTTGGAAGTAAAAAGTGTTAAACACTGGCGGTCTCGGAGCACTTTTGGAAGTTGAGATGTCGAAAAAGTGCACGGCGTTGTGGCGCGAAGCACATTTCGAAGTCAAAAGTGTTAAAAACTGAGGGTCTCGGACATTTTGGACGTTCAGACGTCGTTTTGTGTGGCAGGTGGCATGGATTGTGCATCCACTAAAAAGTGACTAAAACGTGAGGGTTTTGTAGCATTTTCAAAAAAGATGGCAGGCGTGGGAGATTTGAAGAGGATCTGCACAGATGCATTTTTCGTGGCAGGCGCAGTACAAGAGGCATCTTCAGCAGAGATGTTCGGAGCTCAAGGAGCTGATTTCCTGAGAGGGGTTGCATTTTGGCGTATCAAATCATCAGCTATGCCAAGATGCTTTTTCGTGCAGGTGCAGCATTTCGTATGACCTGGACTAACTTTTTCGTGGCAGGCGCAGTACTTGCAAATACAACTACAACTACACAACTAGACTCCACTAGACTCCACTACACTAAATTACACTACACTACACTACATTACACTACACTACACTCCACTACACTACATTACACTACACTCCACAACAGTACAACTACAACTACACTCCACTACACTCCACTACACTCCACTACGCTCCACTACACTCCACTACACTACACTACATTACACTACACTCCACTACACTACATTACACTACACTACCTTCCACTACACTTCACTACATTACTCTACAATACATTCCACTACACTACAACTACAACTACAACTACACAACTACACTCCACTACACTCCACTAAATGACACTACACCACACTACATTACACTACACTACACTACCTTCCACTACACTCCACTACACTAAATTACACTACACCACACTACATTACACTACACTACACTACATTCCACTACACTCCACTACCCTACATTACATTACACTACACTACATTACACTGAATGACACTGCACCACAGATAGACAGGTAGACAGATAGACAGATAGATAGATAAACAGATAGACAGGTAGACAGCTAGACAGATGAAAGCGAGAGAGAGAGAGAGAGATAGACAGATGGATGGATAGATAGATAGATAGATAGACAGATAGACAGGTAGACAGCTAGACAGATAGACAGATGAAAGAGAGAGAGAGAGAGATCGATCGATCGATCGATCGATAGATAGATACATAGAAGATAGATAGGTAGGCAGGTAGATAGTCAGAGAAAGAGAGAGAAAGAGAGAGTGACCTCAACCACCTTTCGGTCCATCAGTGGCTTCGCTCTGCCATCCGTGATTCACAACAACCAGCCTCTCCTATAGGTTTCCTATTTTTGAAACTTCCGCCACCGCCTTGTGCGGTACTACTGGTAACTTAACTACAACAAATGTATTCTTTCGGAAAGCCACTCACCCCAGGGCACCTATCAATGCGCAGAAGAACCTGATGACACGTCCGACCACCAAACACAGTATGATTTGCACAGATGGTCACATATGGTGACATGATGTAGCATGGTATGTGCATCTAAGTGCATCAATTTTGTGCATAGCATGACCTGGTGACAATCTTATCTGCGGTTTCTGGATTTCAGCAAACATCCAGCGTTGAACCTTTCAAATGTTATGCTCACCTTCTGCACAACAAAAATCACCGACATGAGGCAATCGGTCAGGGCAGCACAGTTCACATTAGCGCCAAGTAGCAAAAGCACGCAACACCTCAAACAGCGAATTGCCATGCACATTTCATCACAAGATAATTGAATCGTTCAACCCAACTCACATTCCTCACGCACTGACAATCAAAGCATCTCGACCCTCACCATATCTTGTCCCGCATGTGACGCTACCTATCTGGTTCACTTGTGCTGTGAAGGGCATTGAAGGGCTTCTATTAACTTCTGTGCTCCTACATTCTCTTCACAAAAGTCCAAAGCCAAAACAGTGATCTGGCCGTTAGTCACTTGACCAGTAGAGAAAGAAACGGCACCGTTTTTCTTAACCAGCAGGGGAATGTAGCAGTCCCAGATTGCTGCACAAGACTCCACCACAAAGAGCTTGTAGAGGGGTCGCAGGCTGTGCATTCGCTTCCCGTCCATGTCATTCCTGGTGCTCTGCTTTGTAGGCAGCATACGCAGCATAGTCAAACCATGTCAAACCGGTTTAGCTCCATTTTAGCTCCATACGGGCCGCTGAAAATCACCTTGATCTAGGAGGCCGGAGCTTGCCTGATAATTAGAGTTCACCTCCAGCCGACAAACCGCTCCTGTAGGACATTCTGCGCAGATCATTCCTGCATTTGAGGGAGAGGGTCAAGATTTCTGGGAGGTGGCTCAGGGAACTCGATTCCAAGTTGCTTCCAAAGGTTTCAGGATGTCTCGGGGCTTCAAAAAATTCAACTTGTGAAGGTTGGCATGTTCGCCATTCCCGACCGTTCCCGGCCCCTCACCAAATCATTTCTGAAACGCTTCAGGCCTACACGACCCCCGCTGCAAACTTCAGGTACGCCACCAGGACAGAACCTGGAATGGCCATGGCGTCATGGCAACACAGAGTCTTGAACAGCCTGACTGCGCAAATGGACAATCTGGAGCGGCATATGTCATACCTGACAGGGCAAAGTGAAATGACTGAAAGTTTCGGAGGTATATTGGATGGCCATGGCCAAGGATGGCCCCAAGGATGGCCTGTGAGAAAGGAATCAGCATGAGACTGGCCCGAGTATGAAGGGGACACCCTCTACAGATTCACGCCAATCATCTTGAGGTTCATTTCTATGTTGGTTGGTCAAAACCCAAGGTGGTGACTATACAATGTGTAGTCCACTGAATCAGAAAGGTTAGGCCGAACCCATTGCATCGCACTTGAGTTCAAATCCTGCCATCAATCCACAATCTACAGTGTTTGTATGTACGTGTGAAGTGCAGTCGGAATCGGAGTCCTACCAGGACTTTGTGCAGCCCAAACTATCCCCGGTTTTGTAAGACTGCCACCCATTGATTCTCACTGCATATCTATATTTATAAGTTATAAGTATACATATATATATATATGCATTATAATATGCAGAAGGGCCATTCTGGCGCCAAAATATGGTTCTCTTTCTGTGCGGAAAATTGATGTTGCGTCCTAAACAAGCATTAGAAAAACCTAGAAAGACCCCAGTCTAAGACAAATTACATCTGCAAGGAGGAAGCCATAGGGAACCACGGGACCGAGACAAACACGACCTGGAACCGAACCACAAAGGAGGATTGCCTTGTTGGCCCCACACTTTTCAAAACCGTTTGTCATTCCCGAGTACAGATTCCCATGGGTCGTAGCAATTTTGGCAATCCCCAAGAAATCCGGTAATACATTCACTAGTCCACTTGTTGATAAACAGCAAGGATTTGGGTCACTGCTCAAATATTGATAGCCAACCGGGTACCATCTGAACATGCACGGAACTCGGATTGAACGGTCCAGAGAATGTAAATGCTACAGCAGCATGGGGGACAAACCGTTTGAATCCTCCTTAAACAAAGCAGGCCACGAATCCTCGACACACTTGAACACGACCAAGGGAGAATCCATGGTGCAGTAGAATCCTGGCGACGAGCCATTCAATCCGTACTCTTTCTAATAATAGCTTTTCAATTGATAAGCTCTTTCCTTCATAGCTCCTTTCTTTACAAAGTGTCTTCATCTTGATATCACGAATGTAGAACTTCCTAATACACATATTTACTTTTTGCCGCTGTAAAAAGTCGGACAATGAAATGCAATTCCAATTGTTCGCATGCAGCAACGAACCAGAATTCAAATCCGAAGAATTCGAAGAGTCCGAAGAGTCGGCACACGAAGTCAGATGGCGCCAGAATTGCCAACCTTTCACCTGGGACATCCGCTCGCCTCTCCGCAAAGCTGGTTGGTACTGTTCACCCAACGGTGCCGTACCCAACCTCACAGAAGCAAATGGTAATGATGAATTAATCGAGCAAACTAAACCATACTAAACCTAAGATATGTTGCATGCTTGAAACTTGCTTTGATGGGAACTTGCTCGCTATATTTTCATTCTTCATGTGTTGCGGGGGTAGACTCTAGAAACCGGGCTGAGATATCCTTTTAAGCAAGGAATCATCTGCCATGTTCTTGACATTGCTGACACTTTCACCGCACCAAGGAAAAAACTCATCGTAACTTTCTGCGGCATGCGGCTTCAATGTCTCCAGAGATGAAGAGAATGGACATGACAGGCCTGAATGGCAGTCATATGTTTCTGCAGGGTGCACATGCATTTGTCAACTGATCTGAACCAAGTTTGCAAAAATGGGCACTGAACGAGAAAGAAGGGTATCTGACAAGACATGGAATGCACTTCAAAAAGGGAATCTACAGGCTAATTTTGCCAATTCGATGGATTTTGGAAAAGGCGAAACCAGATCCTTTGGCCTATTCCATGGCACCTTCACCGCATGGTGTACACTTTGGCAGATCAGTTTCGTTGGCGATGTTGATTCTTCCAGGTTCCTCGGACAAACTTGGACAAGCTTGGGCAAGCGCACAGCTGAAAGGCTGAAAGTCAAGAGACATTGAGAAGGTCAGCTTTCGGCATGATCGTTGACGGATGTTGATAGGAATTCCCTCCTTCAGTTTTTCAGCTGAGGCTCACATCCACACTCGAAGACCTTGGCGGAGTGAGAATGGCATTTGTTGGAGTTGTCAAAGATGTCCATCTCTTATCACGTTATGTTTTTGAGAGATGGAGACCGAGTACAATTTCCACAGCCACAAACAGTACCTGTTAGTTGTCTTGACGTTCTGTGTTTGGAGGCCACATGGCAAAATATTCTTGTCGGCTTCAAGGCTTGAAGGGAAAGATTTTCAGTGTCAAAGTTGAAGCCGATGTATGGAGCATCGTCTTAGCTAAGTTACGGATGCAGATCCCAATCCCAGCGTTGTTGTGGCTGCAGGGCACTCCTGCGGGTTTCAACTCCTAAACTGTTTCAACAGTTTTCCCCCGGGAGAATCAGGATCAAGCAGTGATTGGAATCCACAAATGATCGGAAGGTCGTCTCCAGCAGAAAATATATATGCAATTCATCCAATATTCATTCACAGAGATAAATCGGTCACAACCAGTATATTCGCGAAGTTGATGACCGATAGAGGAATGCCACAACCAGTGATTAGCGAAGTCTAATGGCAATATCGTTGTATGTTCAAGATACCGTTGCGAATGCAGCCCAGTGATTGCGAAGGCTAACACACTTTTTATGCGGGCATCTTGAGCCAAACATCGTTGGCCAAGTCTTGAGTTTTCATCCCGGACTTCAGGATAAAAGAACATGTTATCATTGACAGATAACCTATTGATTCGTCTATTCCGTGCTGATACCAAATGACATCTTGTACACTTTACAGTCATTGGATGCAACATCATAGATACTCATGCAAAGGTGAGGAGTTGATCGAGTATTTTCATCTCCCCCCTCTCGGGAAACTACGAGTTTCATCCACATCCATCTTCAGGCGCTCGTGCATATGGAAGGATACGCTGTGCTTTCTTCTTGCGTTTCTTCATTGTTGCCTTCGGCACTGACTTTGGTTCTGGTCGCACTTCACCACAACTGGGCCCTAGCGCTTCATCCAGATTCTCAAAGTTCATTTTGAGTCCTGTTGAAGATGTATGCAGAATCTTGTAGTCCCCTAGAATGCTGAGAAGCTTCATAGCGTTTTCCCACAATGGACCAGCTACCGCTTTAGTGAACACATCTGCCTTCTGGAATAAAGTGTTAACCAGCATCAACTCAATGTCAGGTTGATTCAGCTGTTCACTCAACGATGCCAAATGGATTTTCTGTGTTCTCCGAAGATGCCTTAATCTCTTGCTGTAACCTGCCAAAACAATCTTTGCAGTGGCTTCGTTGTCCTCACGGACTCGTAGTTTGACATCTCGTTGCAGAAGCTGTTTCCAGAGTTCTAACATAGAAAGCCCCTCTTCGTACAAAACGTACGAAAGTGCTACTGTTTCGGCCTCCGTTGTCGACCTTGCAACAGTGCTCTGCTTTTTAGACAACCATGCAAGTGGAAATTGCGTTGACGGTCCAGGCAATTGTATCCAGCCGCCGCTGGTTGAATAACAATCTTCATCGTCTCCGCAGAAATCTGCGTCAACGAACATCTCTACATAGAGCTCTTCTGGTGGGTCATTAATCCATCCTGTAAGCATGCTCTCCTGACTATGATATAGATAGCACATTACTCGATGAAGATGAGCATCACATGAACGGCTCCATTTCTGCACCTTAGTAGCCAACCAAGTAGTTGCCCTGAGCACGTCTGGTCGCGCAAGGCGCGAGATCCACATTAGCTTCATCAAGACTGAACTTGCGGAAGAAGCCAACTCACCAGTCGCTTCATCATCGTCAAGATGTTCGGCAACCTTAGCTAGAAAAGGTGTGTGTGCCTTCTTGAAAGTCTTGGTGTTGGTAATGTTGACATAGTCCTGGATGGTATCACGTGCATATGCTCTCATGTCAAAGGCAAGTTGTTCATGTCCTTCATGAGATACAATAGTGTGATGTCTTCCCAAGAATCTTCCCAAATCACCTATGTCTTCAATCATGATTCGCTTTGACAGCTCTGACCAGAAAGCATCATGAAAATCACTATCGCCACTCAATAAGAAATCATCTACATACACCACCAGTGCAAGATGACCATATGAGGGAAATGTGTATGTACTTGGATACTCCGGTACTCGAACTGCTCCCATATTCTTGTGCCCGAATCTGTTTAAGGACCCAATATAGATGTGATCTAGTTCGTAGGGCTTCATAGTCGAGGATAAGAAGGCTACCCTTGTAACGCAAACCTGGTGACACATGCCATCCTGCAAAAATGCCTGGTTTGGTGTTTGGTTCAGACATGCCATCACCTTTCGACTTGTAAAATACCAATGCCCCCAAAGGATACCGTGGCCCAGTGAAAGCTTGCCCTGTCTAGTCTTGCCCTGTTTCAGTTCAGCGGTTTCTGTGCCGCGCTCGTGACGCAACACCGGACTGAGCCCGAAAAATGTTCTTGCTTTTGCTGTGAAGTCAACAGACAGTGGCCACAACTTCCTGTGAAACCCTGCAGCTACATGTGCTGGCCTCGCCAGTTCCTTGATAGCTCTGACCTCACGCTCACAGTTTGCATTGTGGGGCCAAAACCCCGGCACTGATGGATCTGGAATCCAACCAAGTCGCGAAGCAGCACCTGTGAGCTCCCTTGCATTGTCTGAGACAAACAACACACCCTTCTTGCCTGAAAGATACTTGCCTGCAAAATGACGGAGTGATTCATAGTTGGCCTGTTCATTACGTTCACTTTGAGGATAAACCAATACAGCGCCTGAGAATCTATCTCTCACCACCAGAGCTGACTGTTCATCTGAAAGCCCCTTTGCCTCCTGTGATGGAAACATGTGGTCGGCCTCAATGATATCCCCAAAAGTAGTAGCCCTATGTATCAATCTATCATCATCCTCATCGTCAATCTGTCTTGCACGTTTGCAGTATCTCTTCAACATTCTACCACGTTGGCAAAACTCACAAAATGGGTTCTTCCTGTCATGGAGTGTCAGGTGTTCTAAGGATGTTGCCTCTCGCCTCAGTCTGTCATCTCTGGTTTCATGGTCCTCAGCTTCATCATCCGCTGGCTCCTCATCAGAACCTAGACGAGCGGCAGCAGCGAGAGGATCTACTGAATCAAAGATGAAACAATCATTTTCTGGTTTTTCTTTGGGTTCATATTCTCGATGGGTTTGTGGTGCATCTGAAATTGGGGAACCGGCATGGCTGGAGCATGCTGTGCCAGGATGTCTGGGTAGAGAGCGTTCATGACGTATTCACACATCAATCTTGGGTAAAAACCAGTGCATCGTGTCCTTGAACCTTCTATTGGCGCATGTTTGAACTCCTTTGGATGGTTGCACCTCAGCACATTGAAAATTCTGGCTGTACGATTGTCCGAAGTGATCAATCGCCACTTCTTCAAATGCAAACCTCCATTGGTATCCGTCAACCCCACTTGGCATCCATCAAAATCGACAACCATCATGTTCAAGTCTCGAATCAGTTTCTGTAATTCCTGATCAGACCAACCCAGTGTCGTGGCCATTCAAACGTAACACGTCCCCCATTTCACGCAACAGCGCAGGCCAGCTTGCAAAAATTGTTGATAAGCAGCCTAGATTTCTGTCTTCTGGCTTCCAGCTCATCTGCAAAAGCTTGACCATATTGATGGATGTTAAGGGTTTGCCATTGAGACCAAGGATCACATGGTAAAGAGCCCCAAAGATCTACCCCAGGTTTCGTTTCCACAATGTTGAGTAAAACCTTCATTGTTCCCTTGTCTTCTACATTCAGATGACTCTCAGAACATCGAATCACGCGAACTCCAGAATCTTTCCCGACCTTTCCCATCATAGAATCATCGGCCGTGCAGAACTCGATCAAAGTTCCATGCCCAGCTAGTCCTGGAAGATGAGGCTCAGGAATCGCCACTTCCGCAGCACTGTCGTGAAAGTCTTGTAACTCCTTGGCAATGCTGTGAGAAATGGTTTGATATAGTTTGGATGTTGGTTCATCATGTTGAGTGGCACGATCATTGAAAAAAATCTCTGAGACCACTCATCATTGTTTCAACGGCAGTTGCCCCCCTGTCAAATGCTTTGGATGTCGTAGTCAGTGGTCTCTCATTCTTCAATCTCTCCCACTTTCTGCGTTTGTTGTCCTTTCGATGTTGCCTTCGGCGCTGAATAGCATCATAGGCTAATGGATGAACTGCAATGTCACTTACATCAACAGCTGGCACTTGACCCTCATCTGCAAGATCACTACTCAAAACTGTGTATGTACGCAATGGAGCATCTTGTGCATCTGCGTCATGGTCCTTATGTTCAGTGGAGTCAATATTGTCCAGACATTCTACAGCAGTATCATGGCATACGCAAGCATATTGTCGCTCCAAGCATGATCCACAAAATGCGGTCCTGGAGTCCTCAGCGTCCAAGTCGGCGCATGCAACTGGCTGTTCAAGATGAGTGTGTTTGGTTTCATCCTTATTCACCTTTCCAGGCTTCAATGGACTGTCAATGGCAAAGATTGGAACGTTGTTTTGGACCCTGTTGGCGTACCATCTATTTTCAGAAGGGCACCATACACGACATCGACGATGATTGAGGGCTATGTACGGCTTGTGGCCGTGCTGCCAAATGAATGTGCGTCCACGGCTGACTTGTCGCCCTATTGATAAGGCCATGGGGCAGCTCTCAAGGAGATGAATATGAAAATCACCCAACTCCTTGTTGTACACACGCAATGCCTCAGTGGAGAGTTGCGGCCCTCCCCCAGTTGCAAACCTCACGGGGCTCTGCAGTGCTTCCATCCATGGCTCAACCATGTCTCTGCTCACACCTTGGTCTTGCAGTGCCCTCAGACTTCCAATGTCATGGGCAGCACCAGTGTCCCCTAAGAACTCCAAGGAATCCTTCTTAAAGTTCTGAACTGCAGGATGAACCATTGAAGCCGCTGTTGTCTCTCTGATCTGATCATAGGAATTTGTAATTCATGAAATCAATGTGGCAAGAATAGGAACTGACAACTTCAAGAACATGTTCAAAGAAGGAAGGGCCTTGTCGCAGAACTGACAAAATGACTGCCAAGCTTTCTGAACCTGCTTGCCCTCGACCTCAGTGATGGTCACAGTGGACGCCGCTGCAGCCACAGCTGCTGGGGCTGTCGCACCGCTCTCGTTGCCCTTGGTGTCTCCTTTCTTCCCCTTGCCATCGCTTTTGTTTTTCCCCTTACCGGGCTGTTTGCCAGAGCCCTTTGAGAAATCACCCACTTTTGGGTTGTTTTTCAAGAAATCTGAGTAGGCTTTTCTGGCAGTGTCGGATCCAGGGTCACCTTGATGTTGGTTGCGGCATCGATCCCCAAAACGGCAAAATCCCGCCGTATGCAGTGCACATGGAAATTTCTTTGTACTTTGGGTTGTAACCGGACCAGGGGTAGCAGGTTGGGCAACAGCTGCTGTTTTCTTTGGCTTTGGGGTTCGTGTCGGCTTTTCTCCAGTTGCAGGCAAAGCTAGCTGATGTGGAGGCGTCCCCCGAAGACCTTTGACTACGTTCTCATAGTTCATATCATGGCGTCTTTCTCTGAGTTCTTCTGAGATCTGTGTCCAAATCCATTCAAACGATCTTCTCTTTGATCTCTGGCTAGACTCTCTGACCTTGTCGGTAATACGTCTCAGAATGCCCATTCCCTTGATCTGATGCCATAACCACTCGAACATTGTCTTTGGAGATGGTCAGTCCACATTCTTAAGGCCATGCAACACATAGTTCACCTTTTGACGAACTCTTCCAGCTCTTTGAGCCCCTTTCCTTCTAAATGGAGATTCAAAAGATGCATTTGTCCCAAAGCTACGGCCCTGTCCAAACCCGTTTCGTAATACGAAATAATGAGGTTCAGGAGCGGGGTGCCCTTAGGCCCCTCAGCTCTCGCTGCGCAGCGCTCCACCCAGCTGGTGATTTCGTGGGCGAGCTCCACATTGGTAGACAGCACCTCGGGAATAATCAATTCCGCCGCAATATGTTTGTTCAGCATAATGAAGTCCTTTGACGTCTGCAACGAGTTTCTAAATGCCTTCCCTCTACCTTCCATTGCAAATGTGGCCCATTTGACAAGGACATCCGTCTGTGAAAGGTCAATTCTAGAGATCGATGCTAGGAATGCCGCACGCCACTCCCTGCATGAGGTCGCATCATTGGGCAATCTTGTAATCACAATTGACTTCAAATGCTTCAACTTGTACACACCTTCTTCAGACTTCCCTTCTGGTAACCAACCATCTTTTGGAGGTTGAAAATCCTTATCACCAATCAGTGCCTGCGAAGTTGAAGAACCATTTGATGATGAACCACTACTTGGAGTATGTATTGCAAACTCAGCAATGCCAGGATTTGAAGGTAAACGTCCTCCAATGGTAGACCTCACTTCTTCTTGACCTGTGCCTTTAGCAGTAGGTACAATGTATCCACCTTGAATCCTTGGTCCTCCTTGCGCAAGGTTGCAATAACCCTCAACAGGAATAACACTCGGAGCTCCACCACTACCAACTCCAGCTCCTCCCATAGGCCCCCCTGGTGCCAAGATCCCGGTTGGAGCAGCGATAGACGCGCTTCCAACGACGGGAGCTTGAGCAACGCCAGCGGCCGCATGCGCGATAGACGCGCTCGCAACGCCAGCTCCTCGGAACCTGAAAGACTCGGATGGGGACAAACTTGGAGGCGGACATGAAGCAACAGCAATGCGATCTCCCTGCAAGAGGTTTTGGTCCGCGCCATTGTTGGCAACTACCGCACTGAACATTGTAGAACATCTCCAACATGATGGTCTTCCGACTACATTTTGTGAACCGCAACATGAGCAAAACATCACCTCTAAGGGGTTGACGCTAGCGACACTAGCTCCAGGTCCAACTGTCATGATCTCGGTATGTTGTGCAGACTGTGTATGCGGAAGTGGATGATCAAAGGGGTTTCCAACACAAGGTGAACCACCAATTGAACCAGCCATGGATGCCATCCTTTCAGAATCCTTCAACTTCTGATGTGCGGCTTCCAACTTCGCTCCAAGCATCTGAAGCTCCTTCACAGCCCGGTCCCGATCCAATTCAGCTTGTCGGGCAACATAAGCCACTTGGCCTTCTGCAGCCTTCTGGACCTCATGGATTTCTTGCCTTAATTGCCTGTTGCTTTCTGCCATCTGTGCAATGCGGGCATCCGCCTGCTGTTGAACCTGTTCACACCATTGTTTGGCCTGTTCAGTGTTTTGTTGTTCTCTCGTCTCAACTGTTTGTTTTTCATGTTGTAGATGCTGCAATCTCTCTAACACATGATCTTGCAATGCCTTTTGGTCGTTTCCGGCTTGTTGTTTGATGTGCTCGATCTCTTGTCGTGCGGCCTCTCTCATCTGATGATAACTGTTTTCCACTCTTGCCCCCACCAGTGAATCCAACAACTGCTCCAATTGTTCGGGGTCTACTTGATTGACCTGCTGCTGAAACAGATTTTGTTGAACATTCTGAGTATTGTACTGGTGTAAACTTGGTGGAACCTGTTGACCCGCAGATGCACTCCCACCCTGCTGTGCTGCTCCACCTGCATTGGATGAAGGTGACCTCTGCCCTTGCTTTGCCAGGGTAGTCATGGTAGCCATCTCCTGAGCGCCAGCTCGATTCATGGTAGCTAATTGACCTACTGGGTTTTCAGGTGATTCAGATGATGAGGTCCAAGTTGAGTTCGGCCCATCAACCTTGAATGGAGTGGCAGGCACGTCGCGCTTCATGTTTTACACCACGAAGAACTTGTAGTGCAAGAGCCCCTATGCTTCAAATGCAGGAACCCAGTGGCACGCGATACACGCGACAATCCACCCAAGCCACAATATGCGATCCAAAAGAACTGTGCTGGACGCGCTAAGCGCGAATTTCCAAGATCATGCAAAAACAAAGTCAATGCAAGGCGCAAAATGCAACCAGTGAGCTTGTGGCAAAATGCCAATCCAGTGAAACTGCAGCAAAATGCCGATAGGACAGGTGAAATCTTTTGACAAAATGTCAGATCTGTAGAAAAAGAACCCTGTGATGACTATTGGAACACTATCGATATGGCCCCCTTTGCAACACTATCGCAAACTCTTCAATGTCGATGGAAGTGGAAAATCTCCTACTTCGCGTTCAGCCAAAAATCGAACTAGCGGATCCAAAGACTGTTGGGCACCAAACCGTGCCTTAATGCGCTTAACACGGTTGCCACGGGCCCGACCAGATTGCAGGGATAGGCACTCGTCTAGTATCTCCTGCTGGTCGTCACAGAACACGCAAGCTCCTGTCTTTTTCAAAACAACTGCTTTTGCTCCTGTGTCACCAGTTATTGATGGTCATTGATGGTCCTTGTTCACCATCTGATAACAACTTCGTCCTCGTGATGTGGATGCCGACAAACGGCCTGAGAAGTTTCTGTTCGATTTCACGGCAGGTCCTGAGAGTCCTCTCCTGGGTCGTGCTGTTTGAGGAGAAACTGCAAATTGTGAGATCGTATCCCCAACGCTGTATATCCTGCAAATGCTGCACTGTTACTTCACTCACCGTCTGGTTAAACTCGATGGTGTGGTGGTAGTCTAACGCCACAAGAGGGCGTTCCGGCTCCACAGGAGCAGAAGCCTTTGCTGTGCCCGATGCCAGAGCAATGCGAGCACGGCACTCAGCCAGCTTCTGCTCGTAGTAGGGTCGATGCACGTCACCGGGCTTTAGGAAGTAGAATCTGCTATGGTCCTGTTCCCGCAAGATTCGATCTTCGTACCCTTCACCACCCTTTGCAACCAACAATGCTGTCTTGTCGATGATACCACGATGAGATTCTGAAGGAACAACCACACTCGAAGATGATGCAGCTGGAGGCTCCCCAACCTCGGGTTCCTCTTCTGTTGTTGAAGGCTTCTTTGATCTCTTCAAGGCGGTCTCTTTGCTGCTGCTTTCTTTGCACTTCCAGGACGTCTTTCAACAGGTGACCTGCTACGTGTCCTTGGTGGCACCCTTGTTCCTGACGCACTCGGAGGTACAGAAACAGCAGTTGATGTAGCCCTTGGAGTCCTAGACGCACCGGATGACCTTGGCACCGGCACTCCAGCAGCAGGTGGCGCCTTTGGCACAGGCACAACAGACTGACTGGTATCTTGTGAAGTCTTGAAACAGGAGGAGGTCCCTTTGGCTCGGGTACACTAGAAGACTTCGGGGCAGCTGGAGGCGACTTGGGAGCTGACCTACCGGGATCGTCCTTCTTGCTTTCGGCACTGTAGCAACTGATGTAGAAGCCACCGTCGATTCGCGCTCAGCGCGAGAAGCAGGTTCAAAATCTGCTATACACTGTCTGGGACCCAGACCCAGCGCCACGAACCGCCAGCTTCTGCTTTCGGTGGCGTCTCTTCTACTGATGGTGGAGGCCCAGGTGGTGGTACTGGACGTCTAGATAACCCCGCAGGTGGCTCCCTAGCAAATTCCTCAGCAGAAGCAAAATCTATTGCCGAGGTTGTGCCCCTGTCAAAACGGGCAAGCTGTGAAGCCCTCCATGGGTTTCCTCCTCTAGCACCTCTGGGTTTCTTTGCCTTTCCACCCTGTGAAGACATACACAAAGATTGTATCCAGCGAAGCTCACTAGGAATGCAATCGCGCACGCGCGAGAGAGAGAGAGAGAGAATGCAAATTGCTCACTAGAGGAAAAGCTTGATGAAATACGCAATGCCCTCTAAGAGTTCAATGATCTCACAGTTGAATGATTAGAGCCGGATGCGGCTGATAACCAAATAAATCGGTCACAGCCAGTATATTCGCGAAGTTGATGACCGATAGAGGAATGCCACAAACCAGTGATTAGCGAAGTCTAATGGCAATATCGTTGTATGTTCAAGATACCGTTGCGAATGCAGCCCAGTGATTGCGAAGGCTAACACACTTTTTATGCGGGCATCTTGAGCCAAACATCGTTGGCCAAGTCTTGAGTTTTCATCCCGGATTTCAGGATAAAAGAACATGTTATCATTGACAGATAACCGATTGATTCGTCTATTCCGTGCTGATACCAAATGACATCTTGTGCACTTTACAGTCATTGGATGCAACATCATAGATACTCATGCAAAGGTGAGGAGTTGATCGAGTATTTTCATCTCACAGAGATTTTAAAGATGGAAAATAGGACTTGGAAGTTGGCAGTATGTGCCCACACCAAACTATATAGATTCTATGAGCTTGATTTAAATCTAAATATACAATAGATATGAACTGATACGAACCCTTGATGTCATCGTTTGTTGCTTCAAAATGCATCATCCGCGCTTCGCAAGGCCTTGCATCATCAAATAAACGATTTTGATGCACAGTGCTGGACGAACCCCTGTCCTTGCATTGGGTTTGTCCTTTCGCATCCTGAGTTGGAGCACTGCGTGGGAAGCGCATGTGGGGACATACTGATGGTAGGTGTGCGCAGGATGGGACTGGATTTGCAATAATGGCCAAGAAAGGAACCGTCTTGGCATTCTTCTTCAACAATGGCATCAATTTCCCTCTTTTTCCCACTTAACGAAGGTCAACTGTGTACAGAATGAGAACCTATACTAGTATTGTAGTACAAAACTTTGGACACTCCCGAGTAAAAAAAACGTGAGAACAGTTACGATTTAATGATCAGCTGAGTGTCTTGGTACTTGCCTTGGCCGCAGCGTTTGCAGCTTGTGCTCCCATTCTTGTCTTGATACTCCCCGGTCCTTGGACACAAGACAGGATCAATCTAAACATTGATTGGATATCTGGAATGAACACAAAGTCCCTATGAAGTATTACAACCTTTTTCTTATCCTTCTGCTGCTTTGCTATGTTTGATACGTTGGTGGCCATGGCCAGGTCTAAAAAACATGTACAAGTTCAAAAAAAGGGGCCAAGGTCCAAAAAAACATCCTGTCTTGCAAAAGTGCTTTATGTATCTTTATGTGTGATGTGAATGTGGGTTCGTGGATTGGATCATTTTTTTCCAGTATTTTGCTCTCGAAAATTCGGCCTTCGAAGATTCCGTTGCTCGCAAGTCACAACCCTGGCACCGGCGAGGGACGGGCAGGGTTCGCATTTCAAGGCGGCACCAGAGGGCTGCGCGCTTCCAGGTGCACAAGGCTTGCACACCTGTAGGTAGATGGCGGCAAAGCAGCTGGATTTCCACAAAACATTGCTGACCATGACACGGTTCCATTTTCACCACGCCCAATACCATGAACAACACTGTGTACTCACAAACAGGTTCAAAAAGAAGGAAACTATCGGGATGTAAGGCAAATGATCTCAACTTCATGTCACGATGCAGTCTATTGGAGTCTAAACATCTTAACTCATGTCAGGACCTGCCAGGACAACCTGTAGCCTCCAAGTCGGTAGGTTGCAGTGTCCAGCAACAAACAACAAAACCCCATGTCAGCCATCCATTGATATTTTCACCCCAAAGAACATCTAAAAACCTGTGCACCGACAGAGTTTTCAGATCCTCCGCTTGTATCTGGCCTACTTGTTACAAGGTAAAGAACAACTGAAGCCTCTACTGCTTTTACTGGAGAGGCAATTTAAGATTGAAGAAACTGGTAGACAATTTAAAGACGTCGAAGTTCGCCTGGGATTTATGCCGAGCCGCGTACGTAACACCAGCATCATCCTTGAGATGGCTTGAATAGAAACCGGAAGCGCAAACGCGGCAAGTCCTCAATCTCCCAAAGCGATCAGTCGATCTTGTTGACGGACACTGAACTAGACTCTATTCAAGTTGCCAAAAATCCTTCATGTTGGGTCCGACCAACTGTCTGATTGGTCGCTGTGCCCAGAAGAGGCTTGAAGCTTTGGCATGTGACATCATGTGACTGCTGCCTTGAGCGCTGTGCTCGACGTGCGGGCGTTTCAAAAAAAGATGGGTTGTCTTCCTCGAAAGCACAAATCATATCAAATCAGAATATGATCATAATATGATCATAGTATGATCATATAACAAGCTCCAGCCCTTTGTCCGAGCGGCAAGCTGGTGGGATCTGACCTGTCTTGAACAAACCTCAGCAAACACATGGCCAAACACATGAAATTAACTGCTTGTTGCATCACCTTATATCAATTCATCATCTTGTCCTAAGCTTTTTGGAGGCAGGCCTCTGACCGGTCCTTCCCTATTTTTAAAAGCTCCAAGATCAAAACTGTCAGTGCCCATGGCTTTCTTCCAATGAATTCATCCAAGAAACTGCCCCGTCAGCTCATCGTAGAGACCAAATTGCGGAAAGCATTTCCTGGGATCAAGACGTGGTGGTGACATCCACCCTAACATAGGCATCCGGGCGGAGACAGAACGAGTAAACAGCGGCAACCACCCAGCATGCATGTTCAGACATAAACAACTGCAGCATCTTTACGGCATTTGCAGCAAAACTATGTGATGTCACAGAATGTTCCATAATGGTTGATCAAGAGTTGAGGAGAAAGATAAGGTGTGCTAGACACCAGCCATGTGATAGAATAAACCTTTAAGATATGCAGCACCAGCTGAACTGGTCCAGTACCCAACCCGCCAAGGGGCTCAGCTGGGACTCAGATTGTACGACAGAATAAAAAGTTTAAGCTAGTTACACAGTAGGTGTTGAGAAGACATTAAATTGAGAAGACATTGAGATATTGATGACAAATTGTGTTTCAAGTTGCATGACACACTTTGTACATGTTCCATCTACATTACCGGTACTGGGGTACAACAGGAAACCGGCGCCGAACTTAATGTTTTGTTGCATTGCAACGGCGGGACAGAACATCTTGTCAATGTTGCCAAGTTTCCGAAGGATAATGACAACTGCTCTCTTCTCGTTGTGTTCCATGACTATGTGGTCTCTGCAATATCAGGCAGAACGAACACTTTCTGCATTCTTCCACACAGTGGATTGCATTCGCTCATGGAAACGCACAGAAATTGTTGAACATCACGCAAGCCAAGATTTATCAGTTGATTCAGTTGGCTTGGTGGCACTGCTGGCATCTTCGCAGCTTGGAACACTGTTGTTTTGGAAACATAGATGGGCCGGTTCATTCTGGTTCGGTATAGTACTTATTAGATCTTATTGCTTGATATCACTTACCTATTGATGGCTTGGAATGTCCTCCACGGCTCAATCCAAGCTTCGTTTTGTCAGGCAGCCAACTCTCCCAATGGTCCTGTCCGGATGTGAAGCACAAAAAGCGCAAAAGAAACCAAAATTCTTATCGTACTATGCTTCCCTGCGTGCGGACAGGTCAAAGAGGTCAGGGATTTCCAGTGCGACTGAACGAGAAGGCTGACATTCCTGTGCAGCCTCCCCTGATGCAGGGTTACACATGTTGAATCTCACGGAGTTTTCGACAAATTACACATATAGGTGCAAGTAAATCAAGAAAATATACTATAACATTGCATTGTTCATGAACATAAAATAGACAAACGAAGAGGTAAGTAAGTATCTGCGTTCTGCATAGGTATCGGTATATCTATATTATTGTTTTTCCACAACCGCAAATAGAAACAACTGCACGTTCCTGAGGCCCGAGAGGCCCGAGTACCGCAACATGGATCAAATTTGACCATCCGTCCTTGTTTGCCTGCAGCCATCGGCAAGCGACCACTTCGGGTGCATCACCTGAAGGGATCCGGAGGCTGAATAGGTACCATTGGTACCATTGGTACCGTTGGTGGACCAATGAGTACCTTCGGTCCTTCGGTTTCGTGTTTTTCCTTTTAAACATTGGGTACGATGCAGTCAGCCTTCAGCTTCAGGATACAAATAATTTCAATGGTATTATTTGGTGAAGAGCTCTTCAATTCAATGTTTGCTTCACCAGAGCGATCCGCGTGTTTAGTTTTGTTTGTTTAAGTATGTTGTAGTTGTAGTGATGTAAAAAACATATATCTGGCAGAATCACACCACTAGCAGCCCTGAATGACTCTGTGCGACTTTTTGGGCTGCAGTAGTCTTTTGAATGGTTTGACTGACCTGACAGATGCCATCTGGGGCATTGAACATGGTCGTCATTTTATCCTTTGGGTAGAAGAAACTTAAACAAAAACCCTCCAGTTTCAACTTGAAACTGGCGCCTTGCCGCCTGGCCTGTATCTGCTTGATCTCCCGTGAGCTTGTTGACGGTCTCAGTTGAGCAGCCAGTAACAGTCTATGGGCCCTGCTTGATCGCATGATTGGGGCGTTTTGCTTTGCACCGCATTCTTCAGGAATCGCCCAAATACCACTTTTAATGCAGGGATTGCAAATTCAGGGGTTACTACAATGTACAAACATGTAGTTCCCGGTGTCTCAAGTTTTGACCTATGCCGATACCCATGTGAATCTCATCAACTCCAAGACACCTTCAAGTCCATGTTAAATTGGCTCAACACCTCGTACACTTCAGGGGCCAGAGCCTTAGGATCCCGGTTGGCTTGTGCACTTTGATGGTCCTGGATGGTTCTGGACCTTTTGATTTTGAAAGCAAACTGATATGGAGCGTTTATGTGGCAGTCTGCAGGTGGGCTCTACGTTGAAAAATGTGAGCAGTTTTCCTAATGTGTACGTGTGCGTGGTCAAGAAAATCTGTCTGTGCGATAGTAGGCCAACGCCTGTTTGAAAGGAGCACCGGCAAGCACGCAGCAAATCAATCTCTCAATTTCAAGCACAAACCAGAGTGGACTTGCAAAACTCTGCCCAACGAAGCTCTTTGCAAGCATCCCAGGAAGCGCAAATTGATCACCCTTGAATAGCTGTACCCTGTTTCCTCATCAAGTGTTCACTGATGAGCTGTTGATGATGGCACGCGGCTAAGCCAAGCAAACTGCGAGTCGAACTATATGATATCAGGCTTTTCAGGTATCCAAGATTATCCAGGTGTGTAGCATGGTTCGTTTGTTTTAACAAAGTAACTAAGCAGAGATCACAGACGCGCCGATTCATGTCTTGAGGCGACTGCCTTGCCCTTTGTGGCGATGATGGGGTGTGTGTGTGTAACATCTAAATAGATGTAAAACTTCTCTCTTTTTTCTTCCTTTGTCCTCTCCCTTTCTAATTCTAATTTTAATGCAGGGGGCCACCGGGGTCCCGGGGGTCGGTGGCCACCGAAGACACCCCCCCCGGGACCCGTGTAAACGTACCTGCATTGTTTCGTATCTAATCTGCATGTTTCAGGATTCAGTTCCTGCCGGATCATATAATGATCCATTCTTGTCTAGTGTGATTTCCATGGTGGCTCCGACATGGTGCCATGGAGCCATTTGAGGCAACCCTCTTCAGGGTGAGTGATGACTGTCCTGACTTCCGAATTAACACATTTTAATTTGGTAATTCATTCAAGTAAATTGCAACAGCTGGCCTTACGGTTTGTCAGCCATTTTGAAATCTCCTGCTGCTCCGGATGTCCCAGGGATCCCAGTGATCTGCTCTTTCAAGTGAAGCTGCTTCGAACTACCAGAAACTTTCTTTTTTATCACTGCAGCTTGCGCATTTGAAGTTCAACATGACATTCACGACAAAAGGCAACAGGCATGTCCTCTTCCTGCAGGTGTGGTCTCTTTGGTATTTGGTGAGGTGAAACATATTGTGCATCTAATTCGGTGGAACTTGTACGCCGTTTTATGCCCTTGTGGCTGACTGGAACACGGGCCTGTTGTGGCACAATTGCACGAACAGTAGGTATAGGAACTGAGTCCTGTTTTTTAACTAATTGTTTTGTTTTTTGTCTGGCATCAACTAGTTCCCCATTGGTCCCTAATCTTTCCCCGCGTGCCTCTCCGTAACGTGTTGTGGGGTTTAGGTGTGTGCGCTGTTTTGGTCAGGTCCGTTTCGCCGTGTAGGTTGGTTCCGGAGGTCCGTCTGTTCCCCTCCCCCCCCTGCGCTGTTTTTGGCCGTCTGCCCGTCGTGTGTCCGCTTTTTTCTTCCTCTTGCCTTTCAGGGTTGACCCGGCTCCGGCCGGGTGTGTGTGTGTGTAACATCTAAATAGATGTAAAACTTCTCTCTTTTTTCTTCCTTTGTCCTCTCCCTTTCTAATTCTAATTTTAGTGCAGGGGGCCACCGGGGTCCCGGGGGGGTCGGTGGCCACCGAAGACAAGCCCGAAAAAGGTGTAAACGTACCTGCATTGTTTCGTATCTAATCTGCATGTTTCAGGAATCAGTTCCTGGGAGATCATATAATGATCCATTCTTGTGTAGTGTGTGTAACATCTGAATAGATGTAAAACTTCATTCTTTTTCTTCCTTCTGTCCTCCTGCCTAAAAATAAAAATAATAACAATAATAATAATAATAACAATACTAATAATGCAGGGGGCATGCGGCATGGCAGCTGTTTCCCTAGCCATGCCAACGAAGCTATGGGATCCAGCCGGAAGGTAATGTGGACGCACATTCCTGTACCTGCATTTCTGTTCGTAAGTCTAATGGTCTAGGCTGGTTTGCACGTTACAGGACTCAGTTCCTGCCGGATCACCACGATGATCCAGTTCTTGTCTAGTGTGATTACCATGGTGGCTCCGACATGGTGCCATGGACCCAAGTGAGGGAACCCTTTTTAGGGTGAATGACGACTGACCTGATTTCAGAATTGACAATTTTGAATCAGTAATTCGTCTAAGTAAAGTGCAACAGTTGGCCTTACTGTTTTGCGCCTTTTGCGAAGTCCCGCGGCTCCTGTGGTCCCAGGGATTCCTCGCCGCTGCATTTCTTCGACTGTGAAGCCGTGCCGAACAATCAGAAAACCTTTTTACTGCAGCTTCAGCTTTTGAAATGAGACATAACCATGTCGCATGAACCACCATTCAGGCAGGCACGCGCTTTCCAGGTGTGGTCTCTTTTCTTTTGATGGTTGTCTGGTGAGGTCAAACATATTGTGCACCTAATTCGATGGAACTTGAACAGCCGTTATACGGCCTGTGGGCTGACCTGACTACCGTCCCGGCAAGGGAACAACGCACGACCTCTAGGTATTTAGGGACTGGGTTCTGTTCTTTAAACTAATTGTTTTGGTTTCTCTTGTTTGCCTTCAACTAGTCCCCCATTTGGTCCCTAATTCTCCTCGCGTGCCTCTCCGTAATGTGTCGTGGGGTTTAGGTGTGTGCTCTGTTTTGGTCAGGTCCGTTTCGCCGTGTAGGTTGGTTTTGGAGGTCCGTCTAATAATAATAATATTAATAATGCAGGGGGCATGCGGCATGGCAGCTGTTTCCCTAGCCATGCCAACGAAGCTATGGGATCCAGCCGGAAGGGAATGTGGACGCACATTCCTGTACCTGCATTTCTGTTCGGAAGTCTAATGGTCTAGGCTGGTTTGCACGTTACAGGACTCAGTTCCTGCCGGATCACTACAATGATCCAGTTCTTGTCTAGTGTGTGTGTGTGAACCATCTGAAGAGATGTAAAACTTCTATTTTCGAATTTTCTTGTCGGTTCTGTTTGCACTTTTTCATTTCAAGCAGGGGGACGTGGCATGCAATCAGGGACTACGTCCAACGAAGCTACCTGATTGCATGGGATACAGAGCCTGATCAGCTCTGCGTACCTGCACCGTTTTATCATTTCTCTAAATGGCAACCGGCCAAGCCCAGAACCGGCATCGTTCAGGCATAAAACGATTTGGTTTAGATGGATACGTTGCTTTTAGCAAGGACATTGAAAGAATTCCTTCGCACTTTTTCTCGCCTCTGGTCATCAACCAATTCCTGTCAGGTTTAACTGGAATGTTTTTTGCACGTAACATGCATTCCACATCAGAATTCGCAATGACTGTTCTGAGCAAGTGTGTGATTCATGCTGGATTCGTCAAGGTGGCATGAACCCTTCGGGAATGTTTTTCTAAGCAAAATGTGGATGCAACGACCCGATGTCTGAATTTACACTTTAAAACTAGTAATTCATTTAAGTAAAGTGAAGCAGCCGTTCACCTTTCAGGTTTCACTCTGTCGGTCGTATTTTGGTTAAACAGTTTGCCGTTGTGATTGGCCTCACCATTTTTGAGACTTCTACTGCTCTGCATAGCTGGAAGCTGCGACAACACCCCTCCTTTTTCTTTTTCACTGCTGCTCGAGAGCTTGACAGACAATTGCAACATGAGGATTCCAGGTTTCAGGACATGCTTGCAGGTATGGTGACTCTTCTTTTTTGGTTGTTGGTGAGGTTCAATTGTGCACGTAATTCATTTGAACACTGATAGCCGTCGATGGGGTTGACGTGACTTTTAGGCCTTTGAGCCTGCAACAAGGGGAATTTTGCACGATTGTGTGGATGCATCGTTTGTGAACTGTTTTTTCTGTTTAAATTTACACAACCTGACACTGGTGCCATGTTCCCGGGACGCTTTCCCAACATCCCTGACTCAATGTGGAACTTTGGATGGAATCCTCAGTCGATGGGACTTCATGGTCAAATTCTGTGGAGGTGATCCAATGGATCAGCAGTCTCAAGCTCAGGCTCAGGCGCAGATCTCAGCACTTCAACAACAGAATGCAATGCTGAATCAACACCTCCATTCACAAGCTCAATCTCATATCAACCATCTCCAACAGCTCATTCCACTCCATCAACCTCCACAACCGTTTCAACCTACATCAGCGTCATTCCAATCTACACCACAACCACCCGTGCCACAGGCACCAGATCCACCGGCACCTGCAGCCACTCCAGCTAATCAATCTGGGCCTTCCACGCCCTTCAACCTGATGAGATGCTCCAAGAGATGAAGTCCACAGTGGAATCCAGTATTCAAGCCATGGTGGAAAAGACTCAAGAGCGTCAGGTCCACTCTACTCCACCACCAACCCTCCCAGGTGCCACGTCCTTACACCTTTCCAGCCATCATCCGTCAATTCTACAACATCCACCACCTCGACAACGATCTCCACTTCGATTCGACGATCCTCGCGACGATCCCGTTCTCATCATCATGAGTCTTCTCCAAGGAGACCTGACAAACGGCCTGTCTCCACCCGTCGCAGCCCACGATGAAGACGTTCATCAAGGCGTCCTAGGCGATCTTCGAGGAATCGCTCCTGCTCCAGAAGCCCATCTCGCCACCGTCACGAGTCTCCACGAAGAGATCGTGAGAGTTCCATTACTCTCAAGTCTGCCTCACCCCAAAGACGAGATGACCGACAACCAGTCGAGGAGTATCATCAACCACAGGACTACTCCTCCAGCAAGCCAACTCTTCAGGCATCGTCATGGTGGAAAAGTCAACAGCCCACCGAATACCACAACCCAACGGATAATTCTTATTATCCTGAGCAATCCTCCGGCGCCAAGTGGCAATCATGGGGCAAGTGGAAGAATTACTCCAAGAATCCCTCCTCCACGTATCAATCCACATGGGAAGATCCCAAGAAGTCATCCCATCGCTACGCCTCCTCCCACGATTCTGCCACAAAACCACTCACAGCATATTCCA